AATCCAGTTGCTTTAGTTCATTACGCTCTAATGCAGTATTACGCATATTTTCCAGCTAGTTAATTTTTCAGGCCAATAACGAATATGATGTAGGGCTACCAATCCTATAAGTATTACGCGGTATTATGTTCGGGATGTGGAGATATTATTGCGGAGAGCGTTATAAACGATCTCATCTAATATCAGGTTCTTAAACTGCCTTGGTCACAGATGAACCTCTTCAGTTTTATAGGTGTTTATGCCTTCATGTATGAACGTTATAACATTCACCAATGTTCTAAAAACGTCTTTACAAATTAAACTATTGTTGGATGCATATTTAATATTTGCATTTCTTTTTTTCTTTGTAGATTTTATTTCCTCACTGCTTAATTTTATGTTATGATTTTTGCAATAATCTTGTTACTGGCAACGTGCTTTATTTACTATTAAGTTTGTGTGAGTGGCAACAGTTGTTCATGTTTATGTTTCAGTAGAATAGTGTTCTTAGCCGCACTGCGCTGCAGGCAATTTTTCTCTTAAATATTTCTTCTTTTAGAATAGCAATAAAGTTTACTATACAGAGCTGATGCTTTTTAGTTCAAGGCAACTATTTGTTTCCCCAGGTGAGGCATTTAATGCTATTTAATGTGTTATTATTATATGCTTTAGAACTGTGTTTAACGAACTTTTAAGTACTGGTACTGCGAATCGTCTGCGTGACGTCAGAAAGATAAGCGGAAATATTTTTATTTTTTGCTGCTTAAGTATCTTGTTGAAGTTATTTGTGCTTATTAATCATTATTCATGGTAATAATGACAGAATTAAGTGAATCTGATCTTAAAAGATTAAGAGGACGAACGAAATCTACCCTAACGCGGCTTCACAATAGTTTCAGTAATCAGTTAAGTTTAACGGAATTAAAAGCACGATTAGAAAGAATTGAACAAATATTTAAAGAATTTGATCAATATGATGCTGCTTTACCCGAAGAAGCTTCTGAAATTGCTGAATTCGAAACTAAATATTTTGAAACGAAAGTAATGTATCAATCCGCCATTGAATCCGTAACGGCCAGAAATGTTTTGATTTCAAATCCCACTGCAGTTGAGGCTAGCTTTAAACTTCCGCGTTTAAACATTCCGAGTTTCAATGGTAAATACTGATTGGCTTAATTTTAAAGATCTGTACATGGCGACAGTTCATACCAATCAGTCATTAGCGAAAATTCAGAAATTCCAATATTTGATAGGACTTTTAAAAGACGAACCAGCTGCTATTATTAAGCACATTCCGATTTCCGAAACTACATACGATGAGGCTTGGGACAAATTGATGCATCGTTATGATAGAAAAAATCAAATTGTAATGTCGCTTGTCAGAACACTTCTTGAGCAACCCAAAATTACTAGCGCTGATTCTGTTAATCTAAGAAAACTATCTGATACATCTGATGAAGTTATCCGTGGATTAAAATCTCTTGGCGAAAAAGCTTCGTCTAGAGATGTTTGGCTAATTTATTTTTTGTTAGAAAAAGTCGATCCGGAAACGCGCCATTTATGGTCACAAAAAAATGGTGAAGAAGAATTTCCTACCTTGGAATGTTTTTTGGAATTCTTAAACTCAAGATGTGTTTCACTTGAAATGTTAAACACTCATATAATGAAAAGCGAGTATCGCATAAAAATCAGTGCTCTGTTTCGAAGAATGTTTCACATAATAATAAAAATTCTGTTCTAAAATTGCAATGGTTCTCATTTTTTATCAAAGTGTTATAAATTTAAAGGTGCAGATATTACGACTAGGAAAAATATCATTCGCAAGAATTTATTATGCTTCAATTGTTTCGGAAATCATCAATTAAAAATTTGTTTCATCGCAGAATGTGTGTTCTATTTGCAAAGCAAAACACCATACTTTACTGCATGAAGATATTAAAAGTAATAACGTAGTTGTGTCAAATTCATCTCCATCTGATGAACAAATTTCTAATTCAGACGAACAAAATAATATTTCGAGTTTTTCTATTCAGGGTCAGAGTACTTCATTTTTACCAACGGCGGCAGTAATAATTTACGATTCTGCTGGTCAAGTTCATGAATGTATCATTCTTTTTGACAGTGGAAGTGAAGCTTCTTTCATCAGTGAATCATTTATTCGACAATTAAATATACGCAGACAAAATGCCCGTATTTGCGTAAAGGGACTTGGTGATTCTGAAGCAGCTTTGACTCGTGGTTATGTAAATGTAAAATTGTTTCCGAAATCTGAGTTGAAAAAAAAAATGGTGTTTTAATACAAGCATATATTCTTAAAAAATTAACTTCGCATTTGCCTTCAGTAAAGATTGACAGCAAGGAACTTGATTATTTGAATTCAATTAATCTTGCAGATCCGAATTTCAGTACGCCCAAACAAATATACATGATAATTGGAGCTGACTATTTCTTTTCTCTGCTTCAGCCAGGGCAGATTGTTGGCTATAAAAATGTAATTGCGCAAAATACTATTTTTGGTTGGGTTGTATCAGGCAGAATTAAAACAGAAGGCAATACTCCGCATCCCATTAGTGTTAATCGCATTAGTTTACATATTGAGGATAACGTCGATGCTGCAACACTTAAGCGTTTTTGGGAGTTGGAAGAATTAACGTTCCAAAATCATAAATCAACGATTGAAGAAGAGTTTTGTGAGAAGCATTTTAAAGAAAATTATCGAGTAAACGGAAATGGCAGATTTGTTGTCCGACTGCCCATTTTCAGTAATGCCAAAAGTTAGGCGACTCCAAACCTTTGGCTATTTCTCGTCTTCTATCCATGGAAAGAAAATTTGATTTAGATAAAGAACTTGGTAGGCAATACAAGGAGTTCATGCAAGAATACGAAACTTTAAATCATATGGTTCCAGTTGTTGAGAATGAAGAAAATAAGCAAGTATATTATCTACCGCATCATGCTGTTGTTAAACCGAGTAGCTCTACCACTAAACTTCGTGTAGTATTTTGACGGTTCATGTAAACCTAAAAATTCAGTTTCTTCGAACTCTGTTTTAGGGGTAGGTGCAACACTACAACGAGATATATTTTCAATATTGCTCAACTTTCGTATACATAAAAATAGCTTTTTCTGCTGACATAGAAAAATGTACCGCCAGATTTTAGTAGATACTGAGGATCAACATTTACAAAGAATTGTTTGGAGAGAATCTGTTAATTCAAAAATGCAGACATATAAATTATGTACAGTTACTTATGGCACTGCATCTGCACCATTTTTAGCAACACGCTGTTTGTGGCAAATTGCTTTGGATGCAGAACAGGATCATCCTCATGTATCTTCCGTTCTTAAAAACGATTTCTATGTAGATGATTGTTTATCTGGAGCAAACAGTTTAGAGGAAGCAGTTGACCTATGTTCTAAGCTTTCACAGCTATTACAGAAACGTGGATTTAATTTAAGGAAATGGAGATCAAACTGCTCAAAGCTTCTCGAAAATTTATCCATTGATAATCATGAAGAAAGTGACCTGGAAGTTCACTCAGATGAATGTGCCAAGACTTTAGGGCTGTTTTGGAACTCTACAGAAGACGTATTTTTTTTTTTATTTAACATTTCTATGGATTTTGGGACTGAAATTACTAAAAAGAAGGTTCATTTCTCAATCTTCTAAAATCTTTGATCCTCTTGGCTTGCTATCACCATGTACAGTCAAGTTGAAAATGTTTTATCAGCAATTGTGGTTTTTAAAACTTGACTGGGATGCCCCACTGCCTAAAGAATGGGAAGAGAAGTTTGCAGCGACTTCAAGAAGATCTTAAGGCTCTCAAAAATGTTAAAATTTCGAGGTGGCTTCAAACTACGTCTAACCACATCTATCTGCATGGTTTTTGTGACGCGTCAGAATCTGCTTACGCTGCTGTTATCTACTGTGTTCAACCAACATCTCACGACAGAAATGAAGTCAATTTGGTGGTTGCTAAAACCAAAGTTGCTCCCATTAAACAAGTGTCCATACCTAGACTGGAACTCCTAGGTGCATTGCTCCTTGCCAGATTAATCAAAGCTGTCCGTAAAGCCTTCTCCACCACTGAAATTTCCTTTCACGCTTGGACTGACTCTAAGGTTGTTCTCTGTTGGTTAGCAGCTCATCCTCGAAAATGGAAGCTTTTTGTGGCAAACAGGACTTCAGAAATATTAGATGCTATTCCCTATCAACAGTGGAGTGGAGCTATATTTCGTCGAAACAGAATCCTGCCGATCTTCCTTCTAGAGGAATCGATCCTAAAGTTCTACCGAACATATCCCTATGGTGGCATGGGCCATCATTCTTAGCGTTCGACAGTTCAAAGTGGCCTCTACAATGTTCTGTCAGTAATGAGACTAACAGTGATGCAACTGTCTTAACTGAACAAAGGACAAAATCAATTTTTTGTACAAACAGCTTATTTGACTAATGACACTCTGGACAATTTATTTCAGAAACTGTTCTTCTTTATCTAAAATAGTTAATGTAATTTCTTTTTGTTTAAGATTTATTTCTAGGTGCAAAGAACGGGTCTTTGGTTCTGAAGATAATAGGTTAAAAAGTCCTGCACTAGTACCTTCATCTAATGAAAGGCAAGCAGCTATGAAGTTGATCATTAAATGGATCCAGTTTGTGCACTTCCATAAAGGTATAAAGGATCTCAAAAATAATTCATCTTTAAGTCCTAAAAGTGTTTTAAGCTCACTTTTTCCTTTTCTAGATGATGATGGTGTTTTACGGATGGGAGGTAGGCTGCAAAATTCTGACTTGTCATTCAATGCTAAGCATCCCATAATTATACCAGGTCAACACAGGATTGCTTTGTTGCTTGTTGTTAAACAATATCATGTAACTTATATGCATGCAGGGCCCAGTTTACTAGCTAACATTTTAAAGCAAAGCTATTGGATTGTAAATGGTAAGAAACTTATTCAGTCCTTTTATCCATAAATGTATTGTTTGTCACAGATATAAATTGTCATCTAATAATCAGTTAATGGAAACTTGCCAAAAACAAAGAGTAACACTTGAGAGACCATTTTTTAGCACAGGTATTGATTATGCCGGTCCTGTAATTTTGAAATGTTACAAAGGTCGTTGCTTTAAGACCACTAAAGGTTATATAGCTTTGTTTGTATGTCTAGCTACCAAAGCTTACCATATTGAGGTAGTTAGCGACTTAACTGCAGATTCTTTCATTGCTGCTCTTAGGCGATTTGTATCGAGGCGTGGTACACCTCGATACTTATTTTCGGATAATGGTACGAATTTTGTTGGCGCAAAAAGAAAATTGTCCGAATTGCAAACTCTGCTACTTTCACTTAACAGCAATGAATTGATTTTAAATTATTTGGCTGAAAATACTATGGAATGGAAAATGATTCCACCTGCTTCTCCCCACTTTGGTGGTTTGTGGGAATCAGGGATCAAGTCCATAAAATTTCATTTAAAAAGAATGATAGGAGAGACAAAGTTAACATTTGAAGAATTAACTACTTTACTAACTCAAATTGAAGCTGTGTTAAATTCACGCCCCTTATCTAAAGCTAATCACAATGATGTAGGTAATTTAGATGCTTTGACTCCATCACATTTTTTAACTGGGGATGTTATTACTAGCATCCCAGAGCAGGATTTTTCTAATATTCCCCAAACCCACTTTATTAAAACGATGGGAATTATTACAGCAAATGAAAACAAGGCTTTTGGAAGAGAAGAGATATTATAAGGAGTATTTAAATTCCTTACAACAAAGATACAAATGGAAGCAATAACTTCCAAATTTGTCTGTAGGTGATATTGTATTAATTAAGGAGGACAACATGCCTCCTGGTGTTTGGCCTTTAGGTCGCATTGTTGAAATCCATCCAGGAAAGGATGGCAATGTTAGAGTTGTTACAGTAAAAACTGTTAATGGTTATTTTAAAAGACCTATAGTAAAACTTTTACCATTGCCATTGCATCGGGAATGATCTATTGCTAATGCAATGGCAAGGGTGGGAGTTAATGTTGGATGCATATTTAATATTTGCATTTCTTTTTTCTTTGTAGATTTTATTTCCTCACTGCTTAATTTTATGTTATGATTTTTGCAATAATCTTGTTACTGGCAACGTGCTTTATTTACTATTAAGTTTGTGTGAGTGGCAACAGTTGTTCATGTTTATGTTTCAGTAGAATAGTGTTCTTAGCCGCACTGCGCTGCAGGCAATTTTTCTCTTAAATATTTCTTCTTTTAGAATAGCAATAAAGTTTACTATACAAAGCTGATGCTTTTTAGTTCAAGGCAACTAACTATATTATTTGAAAGCGATTATTATTTATCCCAAAATGAAAACGCAGTCTAAAACTAACTTTTATATCGAATCTAAAACTGTAACGACGCAAATATGAAATAGATTTTCATTTCAATTTTTCGCAGCGTTTCATATGAAATTTTTGACTAAATTTAGTAGTGCAAAAAATTATAAGATTTTGTTTTAAATTTTTTGACTGGAACATAGTCACAAAATGATAGAACTGTAGGGTTTTTACCTTGACCCCCTACATTTCTTAAATATCGACGTTGATGTCATGTCCTGAATTCTCCCTCTAGCGCATGCGCGCTAAGTATCTCGACTCCGCGAGACTGTCTTTCCTGTCTGTTTTACGACCCCGTTTCTATGCTCTGTTCATCGCTGAGATTAATGCTATTCTAAGGCTATGTATATGTTTAAAAGAATTTATTCTTTACAAATTGGTATGCAATAATCATCTAAAAACCCAAACTGGTGACCCGGACGTGATACGAACAGAAAACATTCTGAACCATTTGAGAAAAATACCGATATTATGCAGTTTCATCTGCAATGCTCAGAAAGTCCTATACAAAGACATCTCTTACCTTAAACATATAGTTCAACTGTGTTTGTCACACCTGATTAAACACACAGTTGTTATTTAGTGAGCAGTATCAAACTGAGGGACAAAAAGGAAGGAAGCCTGACATTTTTCTTAATCAAAACTTGATGGCATAGTCTTTTCCTATGCTTAAATTCGAATATGATTCGGCATGGGACTTATATATATATATAATTTAAAGTTAAGTTGTAAGAACAAACGAAAAAAGACCTATGTGGTCAAAAATTTTGCGCATTGTGCTGCAAAATTTTAGTACGCACACTAAAAAGTTACCAAATACTGTGGCTCCGTGAAAACTTCAACATAAGCATATTTAGTTGCTTTGAAATGTTTGAAAAAGGAGAAATATACAGCATTTGAATATTTACAAGTAAAATTAATAAAATGTAAGCTATATGCTAAACGAATTAAGTAATTTTAAACACAGTAAAAAACAAATCAATTGAGCGAGATAAAAATAAAAATAAAAATAGTAAGCTATATGCTAAACGAATTAAGTAGATTTAAAACACAGTAAAATACTAATCAATTGATCGAGTTAAGAATAAAAAAATAAAAATAAAGAAGCGGTAAATGGTTGATTAGCCCAATTCGAAGTTCATTTTGGCTCGTCAAGGGAAATTTTTAAAATGAATTTCGAACTAATCTAACTCCATTACGCGTTTCGCCGAAACAGACAATTGAAACTTTGCGCGACAAATTTTTTAATGAATTAAATACACTATGTCAAATATATATATATATTGGAATAAACTGTCGATTTGAGGCATTTTTGAAGTTCATTAATTGTCCACACTATGTTGATTTTAACTATTTTAAATTGAATGAATTTTATGGCAACAACAAATTTATTGACCGCCTTTTCAATGCTTATTTCACGTCAAAAGAGAAGGATTTCATGCTGAAAGACAAGTTTCACTCTCAAATATGCATAAACATCAAGTAAGTTTAATTTTTTCAAGCATAAAATATCTTTCGCCATGCGAGGTACAATAGATTTCCACATCTTTTGGGTAAAAAATTGAATGGAACTTGAATGATATTTGCAAGTGAATTGCATGTTCTTCGTTAATATCTTGCCAGTGGTTAAGACCACTGAGTACTTTGAGTTCGACATGGGTTCGATCTTAGGGGAATAGGCTCGCTGCATGGCTGTTTTTCTGTTTTGCCCTATGTGTAATGTGAATGCGAGCTGGTTTCTCGTTGAAAGTCCTCCACGAAAGCACTCCTCACCCTTATGCAGACAGCCCTTGCGTGTTTCGCCTTATCCGAATAACCTAGCCTAACCTAACCATTTTGTATTAAATCGATTTCTTTTGATGCAAACTACAATAAATAACATATTAACACTGTCATGACGTGATGAGCACGCATGCGCAGTTTAGCCGAACGGCCTGAAATGCCTCTCTCTCACGTGACTTGCTAGAGAAGAGAAGAGACTGTTATTAGCGAAGTAATAAAAGTAACCCGCTGTATGTTAAACGTAATTTCTATTTTTTTGTGTTAACTTCTTATTTTGTTCGTGTGTCATTAAATATTTGTGCCGTTAAATGTTTGGTTTTATGCAATGCCCACATTACGAAACGTCTACGTTAGGAATTAAATATATATATCCAGTACCTACAGGCCCAAGAAGCAGAATATGACAAACACCAGCAGTGCATACAAAAAAGTGAACTTACTTCTTACCACAAATTTTCTTCTATTTTAAATGAACAAAAGAAATGAAGTGACAGCGTACTGCGAAATAATTCATTATTTCTTTCCCCCGTGTCAGCAGTATTTTATAATAATTTAGTTTCAGAAAAAATTATAGAATTTTTTTAATAAAAACTGGGCCTTAAAAAAATCTGCACTTTTAAAAGAATTATTTTTATTTATATTTTAAGGGAACAAAAGATTTTTCTTTACATTTTATAAGAGCTTCAAACTATCTGACAAAAATAAATGTAAATTAAAATACAAAATAAACATACACTAGTCTTCAAAAACATCACTGCTTTTCAGTGAAGAAAATACATTAAACTGATTTTTATCACAGAAAATTTAATGAAAGATACAAAATGAAGGCAATTTACTGCGTGAAGAAATATGACCCAGAATAATACAGGTCGCAAATACACTTCTGTGTAATAAATAATATTGATGAAACTTATTCCTGAAAACTCTTTAAAAAAACACCCACAAATCCAAAATTTTTAAGTAGCATTCCATACAGAATCAAATGTTACGTTTCGATAGCTCATGTTCATTTAATCTGAACACTCTCCACAGCTGAAGTAAAGTTATACTCTCATATTTCACAAACAATTCAAGCGTCAGATGAACGTAGAAATGACGTTTTCTGGACATAGGTTCCGCTGTATATACGTCAAATATATCGCAGAATACCGGAAAATGTTAAATAGTTCGTATTCCTGAACTAGTAGGCGCAAGTAGATGTCACCTCACATAATCACTTTGGTAATGTTGACATCAGCAGTCAGGGCAATTAAGCAGCATGACTGGCGCATTTTGGCTATTCATTTCACCCGGTGAACATGGAATAAATAGATGCCACTCTCTCAAATGCAAACTGACCGCATCCTCAGGATACGACTCCATGCCCTTCATATGGGTTGTTACATTAGGAAAGCAGAATTTTACGGTTTGAATCTTCTACGCGATCCAGATGAGCTATCCCATCACTGCAAAGCGGAAATGTTGAGATTTCCAGCTTGCAGCACCAAAAGTATGCTATTTAATCATCATCGCAAATCAAGATTAGAAAGCTTTAACAGGAAACAAACTAATAAAAGTAATTATATTCAACTCCTACAATTCAACTGGCTTTAAATGTATTTGGAAATTAGCGTTTTGTACATTTCTAGCAAGATGCTAACATTGAACTATACTGCAACTATAATATATCGAGCTCCAGATTATGTGAACTACATTGCTTATGTTAAAATTCACCTTAAAAATTTCAGATTTAAGCCAAAACTAATGAAAATATTTTTATTTCTAAATTTTTAGCGATTATGTATATGTAAAATGTTATTAATTACTTATTTTATCTGCTATACAAAATTGGCTATGCCAGCCGAATTTGCATCCGTTTTGAACATTGTCAAAAATATCCAGAAACTCGCAACTGCCTCTACTAATATAAAGCTTCGTACCTTATGAGTCTACAGATAGATATTTAACTAGTACATGTTATGTAAGCTAGATAACTACATGATATATGTACTGCTTTTTTCTTATTGGTAATTTATCAGATAAGAAACCATATTCTTTGAACGTTATGAATTTACATAGAATTAGTAGCAAGTTTCTCTCTTTTTTTCTATTTTATGTGCTAATAATCCACGCAAACACACCATGATATGGGACTTAGTAAGGTATTTACTCCCTCCTTTCCGCGTCCCTTCGTCATAAGACTGGAATCACTAGTAATCAGCTAGTAATCGGAAGGTGTAGAGTTCGAACCCAAAGAAGGGTTTACATATTTTTCATGTTTTCTGCTTCGACAAACCTAATACCCTACAGTGGTTTCCCTGAATTAAAATGTAGTGGACAATAAATTGTCACTACTGGAGCTTGGCGACTGTATCCTCGCCTTCCAGTAGCCATTAAGTGGGATACAATTATATATTAAGATCGCTGAATATTAGTAGCTCGACTAATCCCGGCCAACAGATTGGCTGCATGGGAGTGTTCGTGGTTTGCCCCATTTTGTACGAGCGATTTTCCATTAAAGCACTTTCCATGAAGGCACCTCTTCTCATACGCAGATAGCCCTCGAGTTACTTATCCTTAATAAATTAACCTAGCCTTATCTACCTG